AGAAAAAAAACATTATTAGAATGTGAAATATTTTAGATCAAATTCTTTGAATCACCTTTTAATTAGACAAAATTCAAAAAAATTATGAATCCAATCACATTGTAAATTGACTCAATGATTAAACTTAAGTTTATTATCTATTGCAAATAAAGAATTCTTTACGCCTTAGTCTGTAAGTCTGATTTTATAATGTTAAAAATATCTGTCTCAGTAGACTTAGACTATGGTAGACAAATAGCAATAAGTTGAATAGTGAGCCTATTTGTATAATATCCTACAATAACAAACTTATATTAATATATAGGTAGTTATATTTATTTAAAATTGATATAATGCCTCATTAAGTATATATAGGGCGGGTTTGTAAGTTCAAATGAGTTTATTTCTAAGTTCAACTCATCATTAAGAAATAATTTCTCTACATCTCTGAATGGACAGGTATTACTGAGAAAAAAATATAGTCTGGCTGATCTTTATTAATATTTATATATTTAGAGGTATTTCAGATAGAATTACCATCAGAAAGAAGCAATTTCAAAGGATATCGAATATTAATATTCTAGAATGAAATAAATGAATATTCAGTCCCAACATTTGAGGGTGGATTGTTCCATAAAGGTGCAGAAATAAATTTACTATAAAATCTGAAAAAAGTGTTTAAATTCACTAACATGAAATAATATATTGAGGTCTTGTGAAGTACACAGATTTTTAAAGTTATTTGATATTAAGCAATTGTATTCAGACTGAAGAAGAGGTATCTTTAAGTTTTCAAAAAGAGGACTTTCTAGGAAAGCGACAAGTTCGTTAACTGGAAAAAGTATCAGTTTAAGTCTTTTTTTAAAATTTTCTAGAGTTCGAGTACTAACTTTCATGATATATATGACTTTTTTTCTTTTAAGTTTTATAGTTAAATAAATTATCTTTTAGTCATGTTCGGCCTAACCAATCATTACAATACAAGATGCTTACCTTGATGTTTATCTAAATTGGATTAGAAAGCCAGAAAAGGCAAATTTAGTTACTAGAAAGGATAGCAGATCTTTAACGAGTAAACTAACTTACTATTAATCTAAAAAGCTTTACAAATTTTTTTAGATGTGATATCTGAAAATAATTTTTTGTATTCTTTAACAAACTCTAGAAAATTCATATTAATTTTGTCATAGCAATAAAAAGATGAAAAAGTAAATATAATAAATGAAATATAAAAAATTAATTTTTATCAATGTAAACACATCTAATTTTATTAATTAGAATGTGTTTTGTAAATTGTAAGTCAGAAGTATGAGATTATAAAGAATTGATTAGATTCATTATGAGATATATTATATCAAATATAATCAAGATATATTATGACTTATTTTTATTATATTATAAATATTAAAAAAATAATAAACTCAATGTGGGTGAAATTTTATTGATTTTTTTAAATTTTAAAAGTGAGTGAACTAGAAAATACTAGAGAAGCAAATGAAATGTATGATGTTATTAAAGAAGAAGGAAGTATGCAGACCTTAAACCATTTAATGCAAGTCTCAACATCAGTTATTTCTTTATTTTCTCAAAAATATCTATAACTAATTTATTTCTATTAATATAGCTAATTGAAAGATTTTCATTCCTATGCTCTTTTACTATTTTAGATTTTCTAAATAAATTATCTCACCTATATCTATGCCTATCTACAGTATATCGCTACTACTTGCACAAACTATGTAAAATAATATTTTCTACAAGAAAGAGAAAATAATTTTGATTCTATAGAAAGAATTCAAAGATTAGTAATAAGATATAAAAAAAATAATCAATGTAAATATATTTCCAATTCATATTCACCACTATAATTCATTTTCATAATATTCTATTTCACCTAAAATTTGTTGCTTAATATATTACAATAAAGGTAATTTATTAATATGATACTACGCTAAGTATCAAGAATTCAGCACATGAAAATGCTTAATTTTTTATGTTAATGATGCATATGAAATTGATTAGATAAGATAATATCCTATCACAGTGAGATTTATTTTTGTGATACTATGCCAGTTATACATATAATTATAGTCAGTTATTTTCTCAGCAAAGATCAAAATGCTGATATATAATAAGAATAGTAATATGTTCGTTTTATTTTAGAATATTTATAGAGATAGGAAAATTAATTAACATCATGATAACATGTTTCAAGAAACTAACTGAGCACATACCTTATTATCACTTTATGAAATATACTTGTTCATTTGAATGATAATATTAATGGTATAAGTTTGATTATTACGCTTGATTTTTTCATTTTATTTGCACAAGGTAGATAAAAGGGCTCATTAACAAAGATATCACCTTTTATATAATTTGTAAGATCGATTTTGTTATACATTTTTGAAGAAAATTACGAAAAACTAATTAACCACTCTTCTTAATTTATCAATAAAAGTATTTAACACTATTTATATGTAAAGATTATTAAGAGGGTCTTTTTTAATATATGTAATAATTTTGAGAATATGCAAGAAAGTTTGAGAATAAATTATTATATGCAGTTGCTTGTTCTCATAATATATAAGATATAATAAATGATATTATGCATTTATCAGGTTCTGGATCAATGATTTTATTATAATAAACTTGATCAAAATATTAGAATATAAGCTTTCTATAACTAGTAAATTTGGTCTTTGCTTTATTAATTGTACAAGAAAAAAAATACATAATACAGGTTACATTATAACACTACTTAGAACTAAAATAATAAAAAAAATTTCATATGAGCAAAGTATTATACTGCTAGCTCTTCTATAATATTAATATGATTTTTGAAATCCTAAATGAAAAAAATTGTCTATTAGCTTGTTGTTTCCTTGTAAATGCATATATAACTAAAAGTAAATCCATCTTAATTGCATAAATATCTTATCTAAAAGTTCTTCTTTAATATTGTTTTTTTGCTGACACTTTTTCATACTATTTATTCAAAGATAAAGTAGATCTTTTATCAATATTATATTGTACTAAGTGATAGTCTCTCACATAATCAGTTTATATACTATTGCAAACTTGAGTTTATTGCTTTAATTGTTACAGGTAAGATAATATTCTAACTTATCTTAGAAATACAATTTTGCTAATTCAGGATTATAAGGTAAATGATTTCCATTTTTAAAGTATCATGAGCCATGTAATCCATAATTTTCATATTTTCTATTGTAAATAAAATATGATGAGCCCTACAGCTGAGGTGATATAAAATTATAATTATCAATCCCTTTAAAACTATTTCTGAATTTTAAGTATAGAAAGTACTCTAAAATGAATTTGATAATTAATTCTAAATCAGATCTGACTTCAAAGTTATAAGCCCTTTTTTTTTACATTACTCAGAAGAAGATAAATAGGATACTTTGTTTTCTAGCTTCAAATTTATGAGAAGGTAATTTTCTGATAATTGCCATAGCTTATATTCAGTTTCTTTTTTATATTTTTTATATAAGTTGAACTAAATCTTATCTATCAAAACACTTAGTAATCTACTTAATTTGGTATGCCAATTCAGATATTCAAAAATTATTACTTTATCGAACTTGATTATGTTTTCTTTTTTTCTATGATTACAAATCAATTTAAATTAGATAATAGTTGACATTAATTAGTGTTAAAAAAATATCATAATGAAGCGTGAGTAAATAAAATAATGAGACTATGCAATTATCTCAATTTTACGCTATTCATATTTAATAAAATAAGATCCAGCTTTATATCTACTTTCTATACTTTCCTCATCGTCATAGCTTAACTTATATAATGAACATAATTTCTTATTGGTAATTCCATAATAATTAAAATTTTCATTACTAAATTCTCTATATAAATTTGGATATTGATCTAATATCTTATTTTAAAAATAAATGCAGTCATGAAATAGATTAATCCTAGAAATTAGTTGAAATGCAGATGAAATATTTACTCTAAATACTTGTTTCTTTGAAGTATTAGTATGTAACAACTCAGAATTTTTCTTACTACTTCCTAAACTGAGATTAGAATGTAACAATTCAGAATTTTTTTCATCACTTGATAAACTATCTTTTAACAGATTACAGGTAGACAATTCTATTTTAATGCTGTAATTAGTTAGCATATTATCTATAATATACTTATTTATCATTTTTGAAATACTGCTAACAGAAAAAGAATTAATTTGATAAATTTTATACATACCTATTACATCAAAGAGCTTCCAGAGTTTCTTGGTCTATTTGATTCTTTTCTATAAAAGTGCATCAGAAGTATCTATAAAAAGCTGAGCTCTAACTTTTATATTTAAAATTTTATTAACAGCATTAGATTCTAGATCAACTTGTTTTTCAGATATTATTTCACTTTGTCTTTGAATAAGAGCTTTTTCAAATTAACTGTAATATATAATAGCTTTTTGAACTGCACGATCAGTAAGATCTTCAGCATTAAGAAGTTTTTCATATAAAAAAAAGGTTAGCATTTCCATCTCTACTGCTAAGGGATCACAGCTTCGCATTATTAGCTCTAAGTAAATATTCAAAAAATTTAAGCCTGGCTCATTTATAATCTTAGAACAATTGATGCTTGAATCTGATTCTTTTGAGAAATACTGCAAGTATCAAATCATCTGTGATCACTTTAGTAACTACTTTTTCAGATACTTCTTAAATAAATTTTTTCTTTTGTTTTATTTGATTTTTTTTACGAAGTATCTTTTTATTAACTAATACCTGCTTGTCTTTTTCAAAGGAAATAGATTCTACTTTTGCAAGTTTTTCTTTTCACTTTCTCTATCTAATTTTATCACTAACTATTTTCTTATTCATCTCATTCAAGAAAGAGTCTATAGTCTTTTTCTCTAATGGCTTAGAATTGGCAGGTATTGCATTATTTGCTATTATGGATTCTTATATATTAATAGGTTTTTCAGAAAAGAAATCCTTTTGCAATTGGTTAATAAAGATAACTTGCCTGAAATCTTATTCTAACTTTATAACTTTAGCCTTAAGTTCAGCATTCTCAGAATCACGCTTGACATTTTTAACATTATATCTAGCATTATTAATAACAGTATTTATTTTAACCTTTTTTAATTTTTCTATTCTATTCTTGAGCTTAGCTCTTAGCTTTGTAATCTCATCCTTAGCCTCATTATACTTGGCTTTAAACTCAGTATTCTCAACCATAAGTCTAGCATTTTTCTGCCTAAGTAAATTAATCTCAGATGCCATTTTTAAAAAATATTTTATACATTATATACTTGCATTCAAAATAAAAATATGTTCATGTATTTTTTCTGATCTCAGTTCAGAAAGTTTTGTTAAGAAAAAATTTTTATTAATACATGTGAAAAATAAATATAAATGTTCAAATCATAAACTAGAATACATATTTTTTTTATGCTAATGCTCCTATTTCTGAAATTTTAACTTAAGATATATATCTATCCTATTATTCTATTTTTACCCATTTTCTATCAACTAATGATGATTTTTGCTGATCAAAAACCCACTTAATTTGCTCAGATAATTTTTTGATAAGTTTAATTAGATCATCGTGAGATAATAATAGGTAGAGGTGTAGGCAGTGTTGGCATATAATATCATATGACTTATATGACTTACATGATTTATCATAAGTTATTTATCAATTAAATAGGTCTTATGACTTATGATTTTGTCATATATTTCTTCATTTAGGTCAACATTATTATTTGACTAGAATTATTAATTAAATCATTTTCATAAAAGGAGATTTAATTATATAAATCTTAAAATGATAAACTTGGGATTTTAAAAATGTTACATAAACTTTATTGACATTTGTATAATATTATATAACTACTAAATAAGTTAATTTCTAACTTATAATTCTGATTAGAATTAGTTAATCTATATGATTTTATGACTTATAACATTTAGTCATATAATATATAATTATAAAATCATAAAAATTTTCATATAACTATATCATATGAGAGTGTTTCTAGAAAAATCAGGTTCTGAGAAATTTTTGATTTAAATTAAAAACTTAATACATTTTAATCTAATAACATCAAAAACTAAAATGCAATAAAAATCTCAATTTTGCTAAAAAATTCCCAGAACCTGATTTTCCTAGCAATCAACCCATATGAGCAATTTGTGATATCGATATTATACTTGGTATTATTGTACTATATAGGTTATGATAGTCATCTATATTTGCTACCAATAAATTTTGAAACTGAATTTAACATTAATTAGTTTATTATAAATTAGAAAATTTAAATAAAATTACAATTAATTTAATATTTACAAACTGATTAATATAATTTTTACAGTAAATTCATATTCATTTGCTATTTTTTCCAATTTGTTATAAACTGTTTGGTATGTTAAACTTATTCCTATATTTGCTAAAGTATTTATACTATTGTTAAAGTTCCTAATTCAGCTATAAATAATTCAATCGCAGTTTTTATACTACTAATTTGCTTATTTTTAAGTATTACCATTTGATAATAAAGCAACATGATTTTCTGTTTAAGCAATTTTTTTGTCTTTTGATTTTTTCTTCTCAGGTTTGTAGCTTTAAACAACATATTAAAAATCTTTTAAGCTTTAGTTCATAGTTTTTATTAAATTTATAAATTTATTAACTTCAAAAATTGATAAATTTCCTTTATATTAGTATTGATAAAATATCTTTGTTATTAATGCAATTTGATCACTAAAATATTGAGAAAATCATTTAGGTTTTTAATAATTAAGATTATATTAATAATTTATTATTTTTAATAAAAAGCAATTATAATTATTACCTTTTTTCGATCTAACTATGTAGTTATCTAATTTAACTTCTAATTTATAAATTTTTTGTTCTAACTATTCTAAAATTATAAAGTTGTTGATATGATTCTAGGGTTATATAAATTCTTTTTTTTTGATTTCCATTTGCATGAAAAGATATATTTTCATTAGTTTTTATTTTTATTTAAATGAGATTGACTATGATTATAAATAACTAATTCATTATAATATTTTTTACATAATTGATCATCAATTTGAAGATTAATGATTAGATTTTGTTTGGCTGAGTTTTTTAGTATTACGTCAAGTAATTTATAGTAAGTCTTTGATACTTTTCATTATTATTTTGTTGATCACAAATAGTACAAAATCCATAATTTTTACGACATTTACCTTTAACTATTACTATTAATAAAAGTTTAAATTAAATTCTGCTTAGAAGAATCTATTTTCTGCTCAGAAAAAATATTGATTATAGAACAGTTATATAAAATTTAAGTTATTTTATTATGTATCATAATACAAGTTTTATATGTTATGCTTTTTTATATTTTTAAATTGCTTATTTATATATATTGCTGATTACTATAAGTTAAAATTATAATATCTTAATCAGCCATTAAAATGGATTTTTAACTATGCTATTTAATATAAGTTTTAGATAAAGTCATTTAATTAATAAATTAATTAATTTTAAAAAAACTTGAGATATAAAGAATGCATTTGAAATTTATCACTGGCTGGTAATGAAAAGGTCAGATATATTAAAAATAGTAAATCAGATAATACATACTTTGAATATAAAGTTAGAATCATGTCCTGTAAATATAGTCATATAACCTTTAAACCTTGCATTATAAGAAGAAAGTTACTTGCTTAATTTTAACATAAAGAAGTCAAATGTCTTTTCTCAGATATAGAGCATTGCTAAGTAAAGTTATCAAAATTCTTGTAAGAAAAATTTTTAACTATGACCTTTATAGTAATGATATAAAAGAATCATTTGCCATTTTAAATGAGTTCTAACAGATTTCTATAGTAAATTTAATAAAAAAATTATTGTGTTAGTTAATAAATTAAAAGATAGATGATCAAAAGAAGGATAAAATACAACAATATCAACAAGATCAAAAATTTTCAAATTCATATCCTTGGATATTATTAAAAATATGTTAGGTAAATACTTAATAGATACTAATAGAAACATTCTTAAAAGATGTAGGATGATAAAAAAGCTTATACAAATAGTTAGAGAAGCTTTTATGGTACACTATATAAATTACAATATAGAGGCTATTAAAAACCTTGATCGAATTACAAAAAATTGCAAAGTACCAAGTAAGTCTGGTAAAAATATTAATTTGAGACTTTCATTAGAATAAATTTTATTATTTTATATAAAATTTATTAATTATATATAATATGATATATTTTAAAACTACATTTTATTTCATCTATTCTTTTATTATTTTTATTATGTAAATTCTTTTTTATAATAAGTATAAAACTGACACTTTTGCAAATTTATTTAGATCAAAAAGTTGAAATAGAATGTACAGTTAGAGAATTATATAACAAAATCTACTTTCAGTTTTAGGTAAGTATTTTTTTATTTTTATATGTTACTTATTAATGAAAATTATATTTTAATTTTAAGATTAAAATTACATAAAACTTTATTTTCAAAAATATTTATGTTTAAAAGACACATTATAAAGTTAATAATTATATGATATTATAGTTTCCCAGTTTTCTAAATAAGTTTTATATGACAAATTCTAATGAAAAAAAATTTAAAATATCAAATTTTTTATTTTAATAGGTAATTTTAAATATCAAAAATTCTATGAAATTTATTTCAAAATTATTAAGAATATTCTGAAGTGCTATTCTGAAATTATTAATAAAAGTAAATTATAAAGAAGTTTTTTTTTATAAACATTTATTAATTTATCATTTTTAAGTAATCATAACTTAATAAAAAAATCTTATTTATTAATTATAATAAAATAAAAAATATATAAGTTTTTTTAAAAAAAATACAAACTTAAAAAAAAAATCATTTTATCACCTCTATATAGCTAATATAACAATAAAAAAGAAATTAGACTATAAAACTTTTTTTTTTTTTTTGAAAAATAATTTATTTTAAAATTAAAAAAAAAAAATTAATTAAATTAATATTTTTTATTGTCTCTATGCAGCTAATTTAAAGTAATAAGGTAGAAACTAGATAGTTAAATCAAAAAAAAATGCTGCTAATATGAAACCTTATAGTTATATGATAGTTACATTACTAGCAGTATTAAAGTTGTTAAATAAGAGGTATTAGCAAAGTTATATATTAGAAAAAAAGTTTTTAATATATAATTCTATTACATTTAATAAAATTTCTATGACTATAATTGATTGATAGGAAATATAAAATGCTGTTTTTTAATCTTTAAAGGCAAAAACATAAAATCATCTATATTAAAAATTTTTATATTGCAGAAATTATCATATTTTTTATTGTAAGTAAAGGTAACTTTTAATATATTAAGAGAGAAATCATTCAGATATTTTCCTTGTATATATTCTACAAAGGAGTTATATTACATTTTAAAGTGATTGATGATCTTAATGATCTTTTTTAGAAGTCATATTTCAGTATTTTTTGATAAAAAGAAAAGTGAAATTTTTTGAAAAACTTTAGTGACATCATCAAAGTTGATAAAAATATTATTAATAATTTTTTGATATATTATTAGATTCATTTATATTTATAGTAGTTGTATCTTTATTAATAGAAAGTGAAAAGAACTTCTTTTTATTTTTCTTTAAGAAAGTTTGAAGAATCATCGTTTAAGGATTAGTCTACATCCATAATAATTTTTGATGTTTTAATATTTTTTAGAGTAGTAGAAATAATTTTAAGCTTTAAATTTAAGTAATATTTAACTTCTTAGCTAGTGATTTATTAGTAGCAAGTGATAAAGAATGACTGTAATTGGTATTTTTATTTTGTTTAGAATTTGGCATTTTAGATAAAAAGAGAGAATTTTTTTCTTATTTATCTAATTTTTATTAAGATAATTTCTACCTCAATTTATATAAAATTAATATCAATTAATTTGTAAATCTTTTCTTTTGATTTTTATTCTTTTTTTTATTATTTCTAAATTCCAATTTTCTAATTCTAATTCTAATTTCTATTTCTTTTTCTAATTTCTAATCCTTATTCCATTTTTTATTTCTTATTTCGTTTACTAATAATTTCTATTTTTACATTTTTATTTCCTAATATTTCACTATTTTTTCATTTTATTTCTAACATTTTATTATATCTTTTTCATTAATATTTTCCAATTATAAATTCTAATTTTCTATTAATTTCCTATTTCTAACTTCATTTTATTTTTATTTCTTATTTTTTTCATATTTTCTTTCTCAATCACTAT